CCCCCCCCTCCCCCACCCCCCCCCCCCGGCGGCCCCCGCCCCTGCACAGACTGTGGCGCCGCAGGAGCAGCCGCGGCGCCGCAAACGTCGGTGGTCTGCCCCGGACAGTCTCGCTGCAACCGTCACCGATAAAAGTCCCCAGGATTTACCTCATGACTTCAAGCTGATGAAGTGGCAGTAGGAGCTCACACACACACACACACACACACACACACCCTCCTTGTCTCTGTTACACCCATGATGACAAACAATGGAGAGAACTCAAGGCTGGGTTGCAGGGAAGGAATTAAAAAGATTAGAAAAAAACACAAAACAAAACAAAGAAACTTTAGGGAAACACAATATACGGGTGTTTTAAACTGCAGGAGCAGCAGCTGAAGGAGGTGTAGGAGGTGTAGGAGGTTCAGGAGGTTCTCCTCACGGATGCACTGGAGACCTGAGGTGAGACAATCACACACTTGTCTGTGTTCACTCTGTTTTGTAACGATTGTCCAGCACACTTACTTACTGACAGTGTTTTCTGTAGGGTATCAACGTTCAGTCAAGTGTTATAAAGGGTAAACGCTATTGACGCCGTGCAGATATATATATATAAATATATATATATAAATATATAAATAAATCAAATTTGATGATGTATATTACAGATGTTACTTACAGTTAATATGCTAAACAGATTTAATGCAACTTATCTGTCAAATTTCCAGTGCTTTTTGTTTCCTTTCTCTCTCTCTGGCTTCAGGGCCCTTTTTCTCTCTGTGTTGGCCTGAGTAGGCAGGGTGAATGTACGAGCCACTCTCTGCTTTTTTTTTTTTTTAATTCTCATCACTGGGAGTGATTTAAAATAATTGTTCATCAAGGCATTAGCCTCCAATATGTTCTTAACATTATCTCTGAGAACGGGAGAACACTAAAGGAACCTGCGTAACAGACAATCCTCGCCCACACAGATTGGTCTGTGCCACGGCGCCTTGAAGCTCATGGTGTTTTTTCCATTGAAAAACTGATGGATGTGAGAAGTGAGCAGTGAGCAGTACGGCCCAGGTGAAATAGTGCTAATAACATGTTCCGTGTAATGCTTTGTGAATACTTTGTTACAGACTCCTGTCACTGTTGGCTTCTGTTCCCATCCATCTCTTTCTATGTACTGTATATGTTGGAGAGCAGGGAAATAACAGTCAGAGTATTTTAAAACTCAGATACGGGTATCTCCACTGATTCAGCACACTCTCACTTGAGCTTTTATTTTATTTTTTTTTATTTCAGAAATACAAATCCTTACCTGTGAAATTTAATTTTAAATGTAATAGCTACAAATATATGTATATTTTTTAAAAACAATTGTGAATCTGTTACATGACATTCGCTAGAAATAAAAGGGGGGAAAAAAAGCTTTATTAATTCATCTTAAAGTCTCGATTCATTCTATGGTGGAACGTCAATCACAACAAATGTGGAAGAATTAGACACACGGTGATTTACTCTTTCTAAAATAGTCAGTAATAATAGTAATAATAATAATAAAAAATCTTATAAAGTTTTTGTTTTTTTCTTTTAAACAAATACACTCTTTTCGCGCCGTCTCTCTACTTCCTGGTAGTGACAGGAAGTACTCCGAGCCCGTCCTGTGTGCGGGTTTGTGTCCGCTGTGGTCAGGGCAGATTCACGCTCTTCTCTCTCACTTCTTCTCCGCTGCGGGTTCTCCTGTCGACCGTCGACTTCTCCAGCTTCTCCGTCCCTTCCGTCAAGTTGAACTTCTGCAGCAGCTCCACGGCGAACAGCGGCCTGACCTGACCGACATGAACGACAGAGCAGCCGCACTGATTTAGCATGCCCATGAGGACCTCTTGTGGTCATTTGAAGTACTACCGCTGTGCTCTCTGCATAGTATGTGACGCTCAACTCTGAGGTAACAGTTGTTCTCCTCTCTTTCAGAGTCCAGTGAACAATGTTGTTGTCGTCATGTGCTTTAATATTTAAACGTAATGTCATGTGAATTCTCTTTCTCCAGGGAAGAAGGAAAAAAAATGTTTGTGTTGAAATAATTATTCCTTCTTCTACCGTTTCACCATTTCTGGGTCTTGGAGAGAGGACGAGGTTACACCCTGGTCACAGGTAGAACCAAACAACCATTCACACTCACATTCACACCTGTAATTCAGAGTGGACAATTTAACCAATGACCTTCTTACTGTAGGGGAAGTGACCAACCAAACTCTTCCACTTTTTTTTTAATGACCTTTCAATAGATTACAGGTCTAATGAATGTGAAGATCATTTTTATTTCAGTCCAAACTAAGCGTCTTCACAGTACTGTTGCTGATTATTATTATTATTTACATCTAAATTCATATTTAATGTCATTTTTCTAGTCTTTCTAGTCATAATCAGTGTTGGAATCTAAGGTAAATATTCACAGACAGACGACTCCACACTGACCTCTGCCATTATGAGTTTCCTGTTCTTGGGGATGTTTGGGTCGGGGTACTCTTCTCCAAAGCACAGATCAATCTGGTACCCAGGGGTTCGTCCTTTTCCGTGCAAACAGTTCCCGAGCTCTGCAGAGACAGGATAAGTCACATTCAGGTTCATCGTTAGACACGAACTCATATAAATAGTACAGACGTATTTGTCTGTACTGTTGTCTGTGGGCGTGGTTGGTTTGCTCCCAGACACAGGCTGAAAAAACTACGTACAGATGCCTGGAGACTGGTGACATCATAAACGTACACACACACACACACACACACACACACACACATGCCATGTAACTGAGAAAAGGCCGAGAGTCTCTGACATTGACCTCTGACACTGAGTTACTCCTAACCTGACCTGCAGCCCCGGAGCCTGTCTTACCACCCAGAAACGTAGGGACGTCCAGGAGTTTGAAGGTCTTGTCCCGCTCCAGTTTGTTGGGCCGGTCCGTGTGCTGGGCCGTCGGGCCGCTCCAGTACACCCTGCCCTGGCAGAAGCGTTTGATGAACAACCCGTCCGGGGCCACCCACAGCAGCACCCCCCGCTCCAGGTGACAGAGCAGGAGGTTCATGGCTTTGGCCATGTCTGACGGCAGAGAGACGGAGTCGGGGGAGGGGAAGGAGAGCTGCTCCGCTCTGCAGGGTCCGTAAATCTTCTCATTCCCCAGAGGAACCTGGCCCTTGAGGATGAAGCAGCCCTCTGGGCTGGCGGTGGTCACCTGCAGCACCTTCTGACCGTGGTACAGCAGCACCACCTCCATACGGACATCTGTGAACACGTGACAGCCGGCCGGTCAACACCCACGGCGCCGCTGACCTCAGGTCAGTAACATGTGTGTGTGTGTGTGTGTGTGTGTGTGTGTGTGTGTGTGTGTGTGTGTGTGTGTGTGTGTGTGTGTGTGTGTGTGTGTGTGTGTGTGTGTGTGTGTGTGTGTGTGTGTGTGTGTGTGTGTGTGTGTGTGTGTGTGTGTGTGTGTGTGTGTGTGTGTGTGTGTGTGTGTGTGTGTGTGTGTGTGTGTGTGTGTGTGTGTGTGTGTGTGTGTGTGTGTGTGTGTGTGTGTGTGTGTGTGTGTGTGTGTGTGTGTGTGTGTGTGTGTGTGTGTGTGTGTGTGTGTGTGTGTGTGTGTGTGTGTGTGTGTGTGTGTGTGTGTGTGTGTGTGTGTGTGTGTGTGTGTGTGTGTGTGTGTGTGTGTGTGTGTGTGTGTGTGTGTGTGTGTGTGTGTGTGTGTGTGTGTGTGTGTGTGTGTGTGTGTGTGTGTGTGTGTGTGTGTGTGTGTGTGTGTGTGTGTGTGTGTGTGTGTGTGTGTGTGTGTGTGTGTGTGTGTGTGTGTGTGTGTGTGTGTGTGTGTGTGTGTGTGTGTGTGTGTGTGTGTGTGTGTGTGTGTGTGTGTGTGTGTGTGTGTGTGTGTGTGTGTGTGTGTGTGTGTGTGTGTGTGTGTGTGTGTGTGTTGAGTTTGGTCTGTTTACCTAACACGCCCCCCCCAGGAGCCACACCGGCCGAAGGAGACGGACTTCTCATCTTGGATTCGGTGGGCGTGAGGTCACAGTATCTGTGCTCCCTCCACAGGTCAGCTGAGGGAAAGCAGAAGGGTTTGTATCCAGACATGAGGCCGAGGTTGAGGTTTATTTAGGAACAAAAGTGATGACAGAAGCAGAATCTTCAAGAAATATATTTCACAATGTATTTTCATGTCCTGTTTTTTCTCTATTTATGTGTGTGTATATATTCCCTTTTTGATATATTGCAGTTCCATTATATACATATATGTACAGATACATACTCTATATATGTGTATATATATGTGTGTGCGTACATATATGTATAAATAAAATGGTTTTAGAATAATTTTAGGGATATTGATTAATTATGATTAATCAATTTGCACCACTCTTTGGTTTTTCAAATGTCCAAAAATTTGACAAAATTTTATTTAAAAAAATTAGTTAGTAATTAGAAGATAATGAAACATTTACCTGATAATTTACCTTCTTTATTGACTTGAGAGAATTCATTTTTCAAATGGAGCTGAGAGAAAAAAAAAAGTCAACAAAGAGGTCAGTGTGTGAAGAGTGTGTTTTCACTAATGTATCGACAGGAAAAGGTTTGAAGAACAAACTGACCTTGGTAGAAACATGAGACTCTGAGGAAACTGTGGGGAAAAAAAACAAACAAAACTTCATTTCTTTAATTTCAAATTAAAGAAAAGTTTAAACATTTTCCACCGAAGAATTTGAATTTGTTTTAAACCTGCGGTCACTGGTCTTACCTGCTGACCTGGCTGGTCCGGGGTCAGGTAAAATACGATAGACCTTGTAGGGTTCACTGATGTCCAGCTGGTTGCGTTCAGGGACCTCCTGGAAATCCGTGCTCTTGTTGAGCGCACAGCGAAGACGCGTCTTCCACACGGTGGGATCAGCTTTGTCCCTCCCTTCACTGTGTTTGCCCTTGTAGACGGCCCAGGCCTGCAGGTTTGGAACCATCGGGAGTAAAAATGTACTAATAGTTTAGTTGTTCAGCAAAAGTTTATTCATTTGTGCAGTTTGGTATTTGATAAACGGGACATGTCTCTGTTATGATGTTTAACTCTTCAAATCAGGGCATTTTCACTAAATATATATATATATATATATTTAATTTTTTGTTCAATAATTTTCCACCAAGTTTTACTTCTGTATTACACCATGTTACGGGTGAGTTTGAACCACGAAGCAGGTCTGACAAAAGTGAGCACCACCTGCAGGACAGTAGAAAACCACCATCATCGAACAGAACCGTATTCTCCTCTGATTTCAGTGTCAATAAACAACTTTTTCACGTATTCAGTCCAGAACAAATATCGAACTGAAAATCCTACAGTTCTCCACGTTTGTAGTCGAATATAGTCGATTTGATTTGATTTTTTGGTTTTCTCTGTTAGTGTTTTGTTGTTTATACAACCGTTCTTCTTTACAGAACTGGAAAATATATTTCTAACGTAAAAAAAAATCTGAATCGCTTGTTTTTTGAAATTCCAAGAACAAAAATCTTAACAACAATAATAATAATAATTGTTATTAATATCAATGTACAATAACTAAAAACAGAGTTTTTTTTTTGTTTTGTCTAACGTTCCTCTTGTTCTTCATGTTCAGCTCTAACTTCCAGACCTTGAACAGAGCCGCGTCCTCCATCTGGTTGTAGTCCTTCTTGGCTGCGTGTTTCCAGGGGATCCTGAACATGGTCTTGTCCTCGTCCTCCCAGCACAGACCCTCGAAGCTGCCGCTCTCGATCTGGCGGAGCAGCCACTCCTTCAGGTGCAGCTTGGCTCCTTCCACCATCTTCACCGCACGCCTGGCTCCGCTGCAGCCAGCCTCAGGTAAGACATGTGCAGACCAGCCACCTGACGGAGGCGACCGCGAACCTACCACCGTGGACCGCGACGATGTCCCGATTTACGGTTCACTAAAAAAAAAACCGCAGGCACCTGTTCGATCGTAGCGACGGTTGAAGTGGTTGAAATCAGACAGATAATATGTGCAGAACAGACTCTCCCAACATGATCACACCACTGGAAGTGAAAGTGAAACCTGACTCGACTGAAACTTTCGGTTTGTCCGTCACGTGTAGCGTTCACGGCGTCGGAGCCGCTCGGAGATCACATAACCGGTTACAGGGTGACAGATCAGCTCCACACTGTTTCAGTGGAACAATCATGTAGGGCACCCCGGGTCACAGTCGGTACAACGCGGGTCAAAGATAGAAATTGAGTCGGGTCATGTGTGACGTCATAAAGTAGTGCCAAATATGGATTCGTGTAGATGAGAAGGAACAACGTGAAAAAAAATCTTAATTTTTTATAAACTTAAATCAGTAATTTCTCTATTAGCAGCTCCTTTAATTAAGTGTTTTATTGAATGTCCTCCACTAGGGGTCAGTGTTGTTGCTGTGTCCCATTCATTTCATAGTCCATCCATCCATCCATTTTCATCCGCTTATGGTTACCGGGTCGCAGGGGCAGCAGTCACATCACACATCATAGCAACCCCAAAAATTTTCAAAAAAAGATTTTAGAAAAAAAAAATTTTGAAAAAAATATTTTTTCAAAAAAGAAAAAAAAAATTTTAGAAAAAAATTTTTTGAAAAAATTTCCATCCTTCCATTTTCATCCGCTTATGGTTACCGGGTGCGAGGGGCAGGAGTCACATCTCACATCATAGCAACCCCAAAAATTTTCAAAAAAAGATTTTAGAAAAAAAAAATTTTGAAAAAAATATTTTTTCAAAAAAGAAAAAAAAAATTTTAGAAAAAAATTTTTTGAAAAAATTTCCATCCTTCCATTTTCATCCGCTTATGGTTACTGGGTCGCAGGGGCAGCAGCAGCAGTCGCATTGGTACGGTGCATCACATTGCACCGTACCAACCCCCCCGAACCTTCCTGCAAAACTAACTATTGGGATGAGCTCTGTATTTCATGGCTTTGTGAGCTGACACACACACACACACACACACACGTCAACCCAGTCTTTGATGTGAAACTGAAAGTGTGGGAGTGATACGTTTTATTTCCCTTTCTCTAAACTTTGTGAACAAACTTCAGAAGCTGAAGAAAAGAGACAAAAGTTTGAACTGTTGTTCTGTTAGAACCTGACAATCACGGTACACATGGTACACCTGGTACACCTGGTACAGAGTAAATATGCAGTTATTTATTAGCAACACAGATCAGTGTAATTTACTGTAAAGTACGGTTAAATACTCACCTTTAACACTGTGACCAGTGTGAAATGATGTCACATGGTTTTCTTGTGATAATTGGTTGATATTTTCAGCTGGTTTTTGTTTTTGTTTTTTGCTGTAACCACTTGTATTTAAGAAGTACTTCATGGGGGTGGAATGAATATTTTCATATACCAAACGAATAGAAACTGCTGTGGTTCAGTCAACTTCTCTGTCCGTTCAAGGAAATCCTGTTCTAACCTTAAACCTCCAGGCACTGCTTTATTTAGAGACGCCGCTGGTTTCAGTCACGTGTTGCTCCTAAACCGCTGCTTGTGCTTGAGTTGTCCAGCAGAGGGCAGTGGACAGCCTTTCAATCGTATTCCACCAGAGGGTCCACTGTAGTTTTTGTTCGTTGATGTTGTTACTCTTCTTGGTTGTTCTTCGGTTTGTTCAGGAAAACATCGCGGTGTCGATGAAACCGCCGGTGGAAAAACTAATGTTTATCACCAACGTTAACGAACAAAGTTTATAAAATCAACATAAAGTAGGCATTTAAAAAAAATAGACATTTTTTTCTAAAACAAATAAAATGTTTTTTTTAATAATAATTCTTAGAAACATGATTTAGATCCATCTAATCCGTGTCAGATGATTCTGGAAGAACACATTCTTATTTTTACCTCATTTAAATTCGTCTTTTTTTTTTTTTTACATCTGATCCTAAAGGAAATATTAAAAAATGTAACACAGACAAAAAAAAACAAAAAAACATTTGTACAGGAAACGTAAACGTTCCTCAACTTTAAATAAATCCAAAGTCGGTTCCACATGGAGTTGTTTTTTTTTTTTTGTCCCAGTTTATTTCTGTACCAGTTCAGCAGTAAAATCTTTCGGAGACGTCGGAGAAACAGCTTAGCTAGCTCTGAATAAATAGCCTTGTTTTCTTCTATTTAAATATGAGATATTGTAGTACAGCAGAGTAAATATATAAACCTGAAAGAGTTCTGGTCCAGAAGGAGGCGCTCTGTAAAAAAAAAAACACCTCCGTCGTTAGAGTTCAGATGGCTGTGGAAGTTTAGTTTAGTTTGTGTTTTTTTCCAAAATGAGCTTCAGGTGTGTAACAGTTGAAAACACCCAGAACTCCAGCGACACCTGCTGGGGAGGCGTGAGGTGGAGCGGGGGTGGGGTGGGTCGAGGGGTGGGGGGGGTGCTCTGGGTGGAGGCAGCAGCTTCGTGTCGCTGTCACAGAGTTGTAAAGTGTTGGAGAGAAGAGGCAGCGATTCGTCGACACCGACCCAAAATAAATACATACTTTTTTTTGCTTCATTTGAAAAAAAAAATATTTACACAATAATGTACACAAAAAGTACTCAAAACTACAACCCGGGTTTCTCAGTCATAAAAATATACAAATATAAATCTACAGTAAAAAAAAAAAGAAATAAAGAAGGAAGGAAGGACTACAACAGTTAGTGAGAAGAAAAGACGAGCGTGAAGGAAAATACAGTACAATCACTGCTTTAATGTCTGTGTACACAGTAGGAAGCACGAGTGTGTGTGTGTGTGTGTGTGTGTGTCTGAGGAAAGACGCTAGTGGCAGCCGCAGGCTCTGACCACCATGTTGCGATACTTCTTGAGGATGACGTTGGAGCTGTCGTCGAAGTAGAGCACGGAGATGGCGTGGAGCTGGGTGGGGGCGCAGCACGGCTTAGGGACCGTCTCTGGGTTGATGAAATGGACCTGGGAGGGGGAGGGGGGAGGGGGGAGGGACAGGGTTACGGTAAATTCATCACTCACACACATCAGCCCCCCCCCTTCCTCCCCTCCCCCCCAGCCTCCCACAGTGATGAAGCAGATACCATTGCTGCTGAAACTTAACCTGAGATTAAGGACAGGGAGGAATCAAACCCACAACCTTTCATGTGGCAGCCTCCAATTTTTTTTTCTCTTTTGAGTCTTTTTTTTAATCCTGCACATATACTGTATGTGTAATATATATTTGTACCTCCACCTGCAGCTCTGTCTGACCCCTGACCCCACGACTGTTACTCACGAGTGTTTGCACGATGGCGTGGTTGGTGGCGTTCATGTAGGAGTTGAGGGGGAAGGCACACTCCCCCTCACAGTAGTACGCTGCGTATCCCTCCGGAGCGATGATCCAGTCCTGATAATCAGAAGAAGAAAGAAAATGACGTTTCTCAACCCGCGGCTGCTGTAAACCCCCGTGGCCGTGGACCCTTCAGTCCTTCTACGATCTCTGTCCTTTAAACAACAAATTCTGGACATTTCTAGCTTTTTTTTTTTTGTTTTTTTTTTCAAACTCGAGTTGATTCTGGTGACGTTGGTCAGAACCACAGAACTGTGAAGTCGGTCCGTACCTGCCAGCCCAGGTCTCTGAAGCTGACGAACAGCTCGTGCTTCTTACACGCCTGCTTCTGATCAGAGCTGCTGTTTTCTGTGGGGGAGGGGGGGGGCAAAGAGAGAGAGAGAGAGTCAGTAAACGCAGCACACAGCGCCACAGTCAGGCCTGAGTTATGCAGAGATAAAGAGCAGACATTGAACATCAACATGCAGACAGTGAGTGGAGGAAATCCCCCGCAGCTCCGCTTTGGTTCAGATGAATGAGTCGTGTTGTTTGGAGGAGTCGACGAAACAGATGTGGACGAAGAGCGGAGTCTGAACTCAACACTTTGATTTGGTTCAGTTTACGTGTTCAATAAAGAAGAGTTTGTTTTCTCCTTCTCTCCTCCACCTCCTTCTCCTTCTTCTTCTTCTTCTCCTCCTCCTCCTCCTCCTCCTCCTCCTCCTCTGACCTCCAGGACTCTGTGGTGGTCCATTAGTTCCCACATGTGTGGCTCACATTTGAAGCGATCCAAAGCGACTGTTTCTCATCATCCAGTTAGAGACCGCTGGTATCCAGTGTTCCAAACAGACCCATTTGGACCATGTGTTGTGGCGCTGGTTGCCCAACAGCGCGCTGCAGATGTTGTTCTGCCATAAAAGCCAGCGCCGCTCTACCTCGGAGCGGGAACTGCTCTGGAAGGACTGAGTAAATAAACAGAGACGGTGGAGCGACACCGACTGACTGAGGGGAAACTGGGCCGAGCGGAGGTGAGCGCCACCTGTGTTCACACTGTAGAAATACCATTCTACACATGGTATTTGTTTATAATCTGTCTCCTCCAGGATGACCTTTGACACCAGGTCACAACCTTTGTCTGGACTGAGGACTGAAATCCGCTGGATCAGAACCTCCTGATGGTCCTCGGACCAAAGGACCAGGTCGAGTTTTTGACTCAATAAATATTTGAGTACTTCTACATCACTGTGCATTCCATCCCACACATGCAGTACAGCGTGTACTCTCAGTATTTACCGGCTACACTGGCCACGCGGAGAGCCTCTTGGTTCTTGGTTCCCTTGGATCTGTTGGGGTTTCGCTGTTTGCCCCCGGTGGACGCTGAGCGAATACTTCGCAGGTGAACTTCTGTGGCTTTGAAGAACGCCACCATGAAGGGCTGTTTATTCTGAGGCCCACTGCGCCCAATCAGGCCCGCTATCCTGGGATTGATACTCTCTCCTGTAGAGAAACAGTGACAAAAAACAGGACAAAAGTTTGTTCAACAAGTTCAGAAGGAATCAACGAACAAATCAATAAACAAGGACTGTTGTAGCTAACGTTAACTCTGGTGTCTGTACCAGGACTGTCGTAGCTAACGTTAGCTCTGGTGACTGTACCAGGACTGTTGTAGCTAACATTAGCTCTGGTGTCTGTACCAGGGCTGTTGTAGCTAAAGTTAGCTCTGGTGTCTGTACCAGAACTGTTGTAGCTAACGTTCGCTCTGGTGTCTGTACCAGGACTGCTGTAGCTAACGTTAGCTCTGGTGTCAGTACCAGGACTGTTGTAGCTAAAGTTAGCTCTGGTGTCTGTACCAGAACTGTTGTAGCTAACGTTCGCTCTGGTGTCAGTACCAGGACTGTTGTAGCTAAGGTTACCTGATTGTTTGTGATGTGTGTGTGTGTGGGGGTGTTGTCTTTCTTGTCTCCCTTTCTTGTCTCCCTGATCACAGTTTGGTGGTGAATCCAGACCCTGAGGTGGGTGCCGACTGACTGCGGGGCGTCCCTTGCGCCTGTCTGTACACGCTCGGCTGCTTCCACCCGATCTCACACACAAAAACACACTCATGAATGCAGGCCACACCCACAACATGAAAGAAGTCTGTTTTTGTTGCAGCAACATGTAACGTCCTGCCCCCGTGTGACGGAGAATTTCTCTCTTCGACGTCGACTCCTGCTCTGATCTTATCCATGTTTTGTTACGCCTGGTCGATAATGATGCTGAGGGTACGACAACTGACGGACGGAGACGGATTAGAGCGGAGAAGAAACTGAATTTACTCTGTGATGATTCGTTGTTGTTGCTGTGATGACAGCTTTGAAACTGTTATCACAAAGTCACGTTCATGTTCAGTAGATGTTTTAGAAACGGATTCTTAACATCATTAAATGTACAATAACTGTTTTTTTTTATTACGACACATATATAGACCTATAAATATACGACTTTTCACTACTCTACGCTGATGACACTCTGTTAGTCAACCATCAGAATATTCCAGATTTCAAACTTTTGTTTGTTTGACCTCAACCTGTAATTATTTCACATCAGTGAAACGATACTTTTGTTTGATCGGGTCGTTGACGTCATGTATGTAACCTGGTCCCAGAACCAGAGTCCAGTCTGTAAACTGGTGTGTTGCCCCTCACCAGTCATGGTCTCTAAGGCCAGCTGCAGCCCCAGGTTCCTGCCTGGGTTCAGGACCCAGTGGTTACTGGTGGCCGTGACGTCAAACACCAGCCAGCCCTCCTCCGCCGCCCAGATGACCCGGGAGTCCAGCAGGAACAGGTCCGACACTCTGAGGAGGAAGAACAGAGGAAGAGTCAGACCACAGTAGGAACGGAGCAGAGTGAAGGGGAGAGAGGAGGGGGGAGAGAATCAGTGGAATGAATCAACGCGGTGGTGCGCGGTGGTGGTGCGCTCCAGATGGTGAGGCCCAGGGGAACACTTCATTTTCTTAATTGACAATAATGGCTTTATAAACGACCGCTGCTTTCATACTCTGCACACAGTCCATCACCGATTGGACCTCTGCTGGAGAGACGGGGAACTGACGAGAGGAGACACAGCTGTGGACCAGGAACCGACCATGGAGGACAGCATGTGGACCAGTGCCCACCCAGGTCTACGCTGTCGTCGAGGACTGTTTACCATCGGACACGGTAAATAACCCCCCCCCCAATCCTCATGTAGCCTGAACTGTTACTGACCGGGTCGAGTTCTGGTTCCTCTGTGAACCCGGGACGTTGTCCAGCTCAGAGATAAATGACGGCGTTGTTCCCCCGACAAAACGGGAACTTTTTCACAGGGAACGCAGAGACTGTGGACTTTGTTCACAGTGATGAAGATTAAGGTTTAAAAATATTAGAAAAAAAAAAATGGCACAAAAACAATAAGATATTCTCCCTGAAATGTCCGACTATTTTAGTAATCTAGGTCATATTGATCATAATCTTCTGTCAACTAGAACCTCTGTTGTGAAATCAAAAAGTTCCAAGACAGGTTTTATCGTGTACAGATACTGCAGTACAACCCACAATTATACTACGGTCAATTCAAATAACCTGAACCTAAATACAAATATAAGTAATTTTTACGTTTATATTTTAACTTTTGTTTTGATGAACCAACTGATGGAGACGAGTGTCATGATTGACAGGAGGACAGTACTGGGACCTGCTGTGATGTACGGTTCTAAAGCTGTGGTTCTGTCTAATGGAAAAGAGACGATTAATGGATGTAGTGATGGGGGCGGGGCATAATGATGGTCCGTGATTGGTCGATGGGAGCAGATGAAAATGAAGAAGAAGAAAAACAATCTGAAAACGTAAAGGAGAACACAGTGTTCCAGCACATGGTCCGACCCACATGGTCCGACCCACATGGTCCGACCCACATGGTGCACCACATGGTCCGACCCCCACCTGTCGGAGTGTTCCTCCAGCACCTGGTAGACGCTGATGCGGAACGTCTCGTTGTTATAACTTTCGTGGATAAAGTCTTTATAAATACGAAACTCCGCCGCGGTCACGGCTTCGCCCTCCGGGATCCGTGAAAGGTCGAACCTGAACTCCCGGTGATGCCGACGCACTGGGAGGAATTCTTTGTCGTGTTCCACTGTACACAAAAAACAAAAACAAAAAAACATTAGCATCAGAACATTTTATACAGAGAACTTTTTTAAAAATTAATAACAGTGAAAGTCAGGGTGACGTCAAAAATCTGGATTAGATCAACAGGAAACATTAATGTTGTCAACAGTGTATTTAGCACCACCCACAGGCCAGGGAAGGAAGTCTGTGAAATCTAAAAAGTTTTTAATGGTATTTTAATCAAACATCGATTTTCCAACCGTTGTTTATTTGCTAATTAGCGACAGTGGCGTTAATGATCGAACAGTCGTACGTTTCAGCTCCACGTGGAGAAAAGTTTCTCTACGAAGACATTTGTTCTTGTTCTTGTTAGCAGGGAGCTGACAGCCTCTGTCAGATTATTGAGGCGTCACAGATTAAACAGAACTACAGATATGTGTTACACATGTTGGCCCAGGATGGAGGCGCTGGTGAGCGCCTCCATCTGGAGGCCACGCCGCGGTGATAGAGCGGTAACGGCCGCCTCTGACAGCTTTATGATCCGTTCTTCTCCCTCTCTTCCTCTCTCTGCCCCAGAGAGTCATCCAACCTGCACTTCATCTGGTTCTCATGAGCTGGTGGGAGTCGGGGGGTGG